TTTTCAATGACTTTGCAAACGCTGGCTATTTTTGAATGACCAGTCCGTAAACTGGCTAACCCATGCTATTTTTACATGAATGGATGCATTGAAATTTTAAATCAAAACACGCATTAGCTAAACCATAAAAATACTTTATAATAGAACTAATTTTATAAATTAAAACTAACATAAAACAACAATAGAAATTCTATAATAAAAGTAAACATAGGACCAAAAGAAAGAGAGAGTCGAGAGATTGTAGAAATCTTTTTGTTAATTTTATTTGTAATGCTTGAATTTAATTTATAAAATTTATTTAATAAATAACTATTAGTTTAAAAATTACTTTTAAGATTGCTGGTTTGTTTCTACACAAATATTAAGCTTGAAGAGTTATTATTAGGAAAATTTTAGATTAAAAAAAAAGAGTCGAATAGACCAATGTGGTCCTCGTTTAGTTTTGAAAAATTAAATAGGCAGATGAAATGTTAACATAGGGATTTAAACTCATGAACTCCAACTAAATTTGAACACTCTTTGTCGCTACTCTAGCCTACCTTTCTCAATTGTTTCAAGGATGTTTAGAATATATTATATACCCATAAAGGTGTTATTTGGCATATATCAATAATATAATTTTTCGGTAAAGGGTGTTCGTTTCACATCTTTGAGACTATGTAACTATGCCACTTTTAGTGTGGTTTAATAAATGCTAGCAGGATAATTACCATTTAATTCTTATCATAGAAATTGGCCTGTAATTACCAATTACTCCTACTTAAAAGTGAGTTGTAATTACATTATAAATTACTTAATTTATAATTACACTGTCAAACTCTCTCCAATATATTTTAACTTCATTTTTCAACTAATTAAGTGTTGGGGAAATTGTATGAGGGTCATCCAAGAGAAAGATCACATGCCATGGTGGTCTTAATCGATGAGACATTTGTTGGGAGTTCATTATGGAAAGTACAATTCAGACAACAGCTAATTAAATATTTGTGCATGCTACTTAATCACCTCTTACATATTCAATTATTTATATGATTTTTTTATTTAGAATTTAAAAAAAAAAAAAAAAGTGTTCATGAAACAAACTTGAGAAAATCCCTCGCTTCCTCTCCTACCAAATTAGATCCGAGCACCTCTCAATCCAATCTCCTTCTCCATCACTCACTTTCTTCTTCCTCCTACTCTACCGCTTCTACTCAACAGGGAATTCAGCACCATAACACTTTGAAACTCTAAAACAAACAAACTTAATGAGTCGTTGGAGCAATAATAATAATGACTTCTTCTTCTTCTTCTCAACGACCGGCATTTGGCCTCAGCTACCTTCGCAAAACTGTAACTTGGCTATTTATCACCTTGTTAATCATCTATCTTCTTTACTCTTTCACCTTAATTCTCAATAAAGATTCTGAATGTACCAATTCTTCCTCAGACTTATCCACAAAAGAAGCTTTTTCTCTCCCTCCACCTCCACCTTCTCATTCCAAAAACTCATCTTTTCACGAAAATTCAGGGGAGCCTGAAACAGGTCTACAACACATTGTATTTGGAATCGCAGCGTCTTCGAATTTGTGGGATAAAAGAAAAGAGTACATAAAATTATGGTGGAAGCCAGGGGAAATGAGGGGTGTAGTTTGGTTAGACAAAAATGTTACAATCAAGAAAAATGAAGGCTTACCTGAAATTCGTATTTCAGGGAACACAACTAAGTTTCTTTACACGAATCGACAAGGGAGCAGATCAGCTCTTAGGATTTCACGTGTGGTTTCGGAGACATTAAGGTTAGGTCTTAAAGATGTGAGATGGTTTGTAATGGGAGATGATGACACAGTTTTTGCTGTGGATAATGTTGTGAGAGTGCTTTCGAAATATGATCATAACCAGTATTATTACATTGGGAGCTCTTCAGAAAGTCATATTCAGAACATATTTTTCTCATATGCCATGGCTTATGGTGGGGGTGGATTTGCTATTAGTTATCCATTGGCAAAAGAGTTAGAGAAAATTCAAGATCGTTGCATTCAGCGATACCCTGGATTATATGGAAGTGATGATCGAATTCAAGCTTGTATGGCTGAGCTTGGTGTCCCTCTTACTCGAGAACCTGGATTTCATCAGGTAATTTAATTGAATGAAATTCTTGTTTTTATTTGGATCATACACAAGCTCTTCCTTTTGTATCGTTTATACAGTTTAACTTCTATGCACTAATAGTGTAAAAGATTTTTTGCACTATCAGGTCGTTTAAAAGATAACTATAGGTAACCTTCCATAATAAGTGGAATTAATAATCTGGAAATAAAGGCTTCAATGATCATTCTTGATCCATGTTAATTGGATGTAAGTCTTGTTTTTCGACCACATTATTTGGAGCATATATGTACCCAAACTAGTTATTCTGGTATTGTTCCAAGAGTTTAATTTTTGTGCATTGACAATATAGAATTTTTTTGATATTACTTAAAATAACATGTAATTGTTTATAGTAATCCTAATTTGATAACATAAATAAGTTGCTATAACTGAGAAAAGTAGATTGATAGCGTAAAACGTCTTTACGCGTTTAATTCAAATTGTTCATCAGAGTCATAACCAAAGTTTCATGCATTACTAGGCTATGCAACAATAATATTTGATCCCAGAGCCATGACACCAAACAATCCAAGTAAATAAGAAACTCACTCTCATTTCATTCTCTGATCATCAACTCCTTAGTGAAAATTATTATTGTACATCATTTTTCTATGCGTCATATAAGAGTACTTTCACTGAAGTTGATGAATTTTTCTTTGTGGTAGTATAGTATGATGTGTATGGGAACTTGCTAGGCCTATTGGGAGCACATCCTGTAACACCTCTAGTATCAATTCACCATCTTGATGTAGTGGATCCTATAATCCCAAGAATGAGCAGAGTTGATGGACTCCAACGCCTTTTTGAATCGATGAAATATGATACAGCCAGCATAATGCAACAGTCAATCTGCTACGACAAGCAAAAATACTGGTCTATTTCAGTGTCATGGGGCTATGTGGTTCAGATCACAAGGGGTAATATCTCTCCTAGAGAATTAGAAATGCCCACAAGAACATTTCTTAACTGGTACAAAAGAGCTGATTACACAGCCTATGCATTCAACACTAGGCCTGTGACCAAGCACCCGTGCCAGAAGCCTTTCGTGTACTACATTAGCGCAGCCAAATTTGATCGAAGCAAAAATCAGATCGTTGGGATTTACCATCGTCATAGAGAGTCGTATCCTTATTGCAGGTGGAAAATTGAGTCACCTGAGAATATCAACGCCATTGTTGTCTTGAAAAAGCCCGATAACGATCGTTGGCGAAAAGTAAGTTGTCGTGAAATTTCTGAAGATTGATCCCTAAGGACTATGTACTAAGTGGATTATATTATGATTTGCAGGCACCGAGAAGGGATTGTTGTAAAGTTCTACCATCAAACAACTCCAATTTGTACATTCGGGTAGACAGTTGCGGAAAAGGTGAAACCAGTGAAATGTAGCTGTTAGAAGGAGGGCTATAGTTTTTCTTACTCTATTTTTTTGTACTCATCAGCTGTAGATTAGGATAGGAGGAATTTAAATATTCTATGTTGAGAACAGAAAATTTTATAATTTTGCAACTTAAATGATGCTAGTACTAGAAAGCGTACATAAGCTATACTAGACTAACACACAGTGGATAGCCTAAATGTATTTTGCTTCAGCTAGTAAAAGCAATATACATATTTTAACCAACATACTGCAAAGCTATGTTAACCTCATGAAAAGTTAAATTCCAACCTAAACATGTCCAGAAAATACTTGGGAAAGTACAATCAGAATATAAAACATAGAGATAATAACACAAATTTCTTCAACAATTTTCACCAACTGCTGTGATCAACAATGATCCAGATGCAAAAATTGCATCCTTAGGAACTACTAAGAATGATTTTTAGGAACAAAGAGAATCCAGAAATGAAGGAATGACTTTTCAGTATAGTTGAGACATTGCCCACTAATCCTGGTTGAAACAATAGTAATTCCTGCTCGGTACTTTCATGTTACTTGTCCGGTTTGGCAAAGGCGGATCTAGGATTTAGACTCTGTGGGTTTAACTTTTAAAAAATTTAACATTGAACCCATTACATTTTTAAAGTTATGGGTTCAAATCTATTATTTTTGCAGTTTTAATGTATTTTTTCACATAAATTTCTACTCTGTGTCGAAAGTTATGGGTTCAATTGAACCCGTAAGTACCACTGTGCATCCGCCGAATGGAACAGATCAAACGGAATAAAAATGGGAAAACTCTAGACTACCTTTTCTAAATGAATTCACCCTAAGAGACACCTATTTACAGAGTCAATGAGCAATAATAACAAACAAAAAGCTAGTATTATTTGATGATTCCATAATTGCAAAATGAAGGTGGTTATCATTCGGATACAGAGGAATGTCGTAGAGCATAATTATTTTTCCATTTCTTATCTCAAATCTCACTTCATATCTGTGGAGACCTCAAGAGGAACTAATAAGAACCCATAACAATATTGCTCATCATGTTATGGGGACGTTTCATTAAATTTTCAATTTTGGTCATTTTGATCAACCCCATTCAATGTTCCACAATATTGCTCATCGTGTCTGCTGCAGTTTCATTGTTCACATTCTGTATATGGATTGACTCTTAGAGGATGATAGGAATTTCAAGCTGTTAATATCCTTCTTGGATGATTCATTTTCGCAGGTGAAATGATTCTTTCAGTCATCAGAATATGATGTTTTTGCCCCTTGTCTCTAATTTTATGTGACATCTATTTTCTTCCTTTTTGTGAAACTGTCCGATTTCAAGGTTAAATTTAATGTTTCTTTAATTTATTTATTTTTTAAAATAAAGATAATAAAATCGAGCAGTTTATCGACAACATTGAAGAATTTTCTGTTAAAAAGTTTACTCATTGCCAGTTTGAAGCCAGAAAAAAAGAGGAGAGCTCCGACAAGCTGACAGCCATCATAAAAACTATTCTATTCATGATGAATCCTCACAATACAAAATACCTGGGATTGAGACATAACTATTGTTATTCTAGTATATCATTGAAGCGTCGAGTTTTTACATATATACTATAAAGTGGAACTTGGATTTACACCATAGTGCCATATAAGTTGGGGACTGTAGGATATACAGAAGATTGTGCCATAGGACATCTTTATTATGTCCATTATATGATTTTAAATCTGCACCTGTAATTTATGTGACACAAAAAAGATGACAACCACGTAACTTTGTGTGTTTTTCTCTTGTTTTAGTCCTCAAGCTCTGTTGTTATCATGTCCATCACCATTACCAGGATTCTTCATCTGTTTTAGATTTGTGAAAAGATTGACTTTTGGTGGACTTTCGGACAGGAGGCTCGGTTTCGGGGTCATACTTTTGGGAGGCAAGGTAGTTCAAAGCAGTGACGATGTCAACAATGGGAGGACGCATATTAGGTTGTTCCTGGACACACATTGCAGCAATTGCAAGAGCTTGGTATAAGCTCCTAATTGGATAATGACCTTCAAGTGCTGGATCTGCCATCTTGTAGAATTTCTTCCTGTCTTTGAATAATGGTCTTGCCTGCAAAAGAAGAGTGGCATCTCTTGAAAATTAAAAAAAAAAAAAAAAAAAAAAAAAAAGAACTGTACCCTCCACTAATAGTTTAAGCTTTTACATGAGGTGGTCACACACTTCAACATGGTAACAGAGCCGAGCCGACAATGAAGGATTCATTAGCATATATGCACAAGTTCAATAAGGCTCGCCTTAGTTCCCTCCCGACTAATCTCAAATCTTGAATGAGGTGTCATAATGTTAACAAAGCACTTTGTTTTCTTCTATCAGGAAACAACGCGTAAATTTGATTTGCAAACATACACAGATAACAACATAATCATCCGACAAAACAAAATTAAAGTGCAGCAACTGGAATTAATTCAGCAGTTTCTCTGATATTGCTATGCCCCAGAATTGGGCAAGACAGACAGGAATATGCATGTTTACACTATATCAACAGACATCTACTCCTTAAAGCAGTATTCTGTTCCAAATTGGCACTGTACGGTTCTACAAGTTTGTAAGAAATGTACAACAACTTTTTATGAGTCATAAAAGAATGATCCCTTTTAATCTCTCACATTAAGCACTCTAGATTAAATGGAACGTTTGCTCTAGCGCTTATTCACCTAGCTGTCCAACTATGTACAATGTTTACTATGAAAAGAAAAAGAGAAGGTAGTGGAAGTAAAAGGTATAACCGTATAAGGTTGACATTTGCAGCCAATTTTTTTTTTTTTTTTTGGTAAGCATTTTTTTCTGAAATTGGCTGCCGTCACTAACCAACCATTGCTGGTAAAAACAAATACAGGCATTTTGGAAAATCTAGACAGAAGGACATCAAAATCCAAGGGCACTACCCAAACAAACAATACAGGACACCTTAAATGTACCAAAAATGAAAGATGATTCCAGTAAAAGCATATCGACTTTCTCAAGCAGAAATATCCATATTTTAAAGGTCAAGAACCTCTTATACCTCTTAAACCACAGATGACCTCCATTCTGATAAAAATGACTGAAAGACTTGTACAAATAACAACAAATTGATTGGAAGTAGTTTAGTAACATCGATTTCCTCTTAGATCCATTTAGGTATAGAAATGAGAATGATGGTCAATTAAGTAGCTAGGAGGCAAGGAGAACTCACAAAAACATATCACATGGCAATGATATTAGAAACAAAGGGAACTCACCCAAGCAACCAGATTTTGCTCTGCAACAGATTTTGTATAATCAATTGCTCTCCTGCCTGTGATTATCTCCAGAAGAACAACTCCAAAGCTATAGATATCAGATTTGAAAGTCAGTTGGCCAGTCATAGCATAATCTGGTGCACAGTATCCATATGTGCCCATCACTCTGGTGGAAACGTGAGTTTTGTCTCCACTAGGACCCACTTTAGCCAAGCCAAAATCAGATAACTTTGGATGGTACCCGTCGTCAAGCAGAATATTGGAGCATTTGAGATCTCGATATATTATAGGAGGCTTCATCTTGTCATGTAAATATTCCAGGCCTCTTGCAGCACCTGCAGCTATCTTCATTCTAGTGTTCCAATCAAGTGGTTTTTGATTTGGCCAGGGGTCTGCACACATTGAAAGAGCAAACGAAACAGGCGTGTTTATCAGGATGGAGGGAGCTAAGATTGGAAGAAGGTAACATGAAAAGCAAACAATTACATATAACATACCATACAAATGGTCCTCCAACGAACCAAGAGGCATGTACTCATAGACCAATAGCCTTTGATCTCCCTCGGCGCAACAACCAATTAGTTTAACAAGATTAGGGTGGTCAGCCTTACTTAGTGTCTGTACTTCAACAACAAATTCCCTAACTCCTTGACATCCATACGGATCGAGTTGTTTGATAGCGACAATCTGCATTAGCAAAAACAAATATTAAAGAACAAACATCCTCAGGCCTAAGTGAACAGACCAATTATTCCTAATGTTAAACCACTCACTTACTGCAAGAATGAAGGGGATATAAATTCATAAAAAAGGTTACATGCAAATAATCCTGTTGTTTATTGCAGCCTTTAAAGGAAAATACAAGAATGTAGTTGAGCTGACCTCACTGGTATCCAGCAAATGACCTTTATATACTTTGCCAAAACCGCCTTCTCCCAAGAAGTAATCTTCCTTGAAACTATCTGTTGCAGCTACCAATTCATCAAATTTAAACCGCTGCGCCTTAGCACCACCAGTTTTTCCATCTGTGGGAGGGGTGTTGTTGCTATAATCCCCTTCTTTCCTAGACGTAGATCGGTTTGCATCTTTAGCCTCCTCATTCTTCACAAATTTAAATTGACTAGCCACCAGCGTATCTAAGGCACACAAAAGAACAAGAGGCACCAAAAACATGGGAGTTTGAAACGAAGGAGGCCTCATTTGAAAGAGCACATGGAATAAATGGCCGAAATACTGATTCCAGCAAAGATTCTCACATTGTAATACACAAAGATTCATACACAGAAAGGACAAAATTAAGAGAAGAAACAATAACAAATTCAAACACCGCCATCCAAAGTCCAAACCATATCCAACAAGTTTTCTTAAAAAAACAAATGGGAAATTTCAGAAAAACCAAGAAATGACGTCTGCAATTGTTGCTCAATACACAACACAACACCCTGATTCAAAATGCCCATCAAATATTCAACCTTTTTATTCCTTCCATTGAAATTTCAAAGAACATCAGGAATTTCACATCCCATAAAACATGCTAAAGAGAGAATAGGCATAAACAAACCATTGGTTTTTAAAACGTGAAACCAAATGTAAATGGATATACAGAACATAGAACTTTAAAATGTTACATCTATTTATGATCTAACAATAAGAATTATTCTAAAAGGATTAGCCAAATATTAGATGCATGCAACCACAAAAACATACGATCAAATCAATACAAACGGAAAATTCACAAAACGGGAGATGATTAACCCTTTTGTATCAGAACAAAAGTTGTTGGCAAAAATTCACATTAAAATTTCCAAAATGCACAAAAAAGGAACAATCTTTACTTATCAATCATGTATAAAGCTCATACCTTGTTTAGGCTGAGGCTGATGATTAACCCTTTTGTATTGGTTATTGGCATGAATTATTTTTCTCTCCGGTTTCTTGATTGATGTATCTCCATCTCCAGAACAAGGGAAACAACCCATAATTTTTTTTAACTATCTATAAAACCACGAAACTGCCTATATTCTGTTCAATATGACTTTTCTACACGTACCTAATTCTTTTTCTCTCTTCTTTTTCTCAAAAACAGAACCCAACAGGGAAATGAGGAATGGAAGAATTATATTTTATAATCAATAAGAGTTACAAAACTCTCAGTTTTTTCCTTAAAAAGAGAGAAAGAAGAGAAAAATTAGAGAGAGAACATATAGCTTAACCATTTTATACGTTTTTTTTTCTCCTTAATTAACAAGGTAGTCTTTTTCTGGGGTTTTGTTTTTGTGGTGCAAATGTATGACATTTTTTTTTTTTCTGGTACGGTTAATCCTCTGATTAGTTGCCACGTAATACTACCTAGATTTTTTGGTCAAATCATGTAGTGCGTCACATCAACATTTCTTGTCGTCAGAGCTGACTCACCTACTAAATGTATAATTGTTTACCAACGTGATAATTGCTTTTTTTTTTTTTTAATTATTTCACACCCGGTGTTCGGTACCCGCATTGAAGCCCGACTATATCCGGATTCGGGGCATTTGCATCTATACCCGCTTTTTGTGTCACGTTTTAACTTATGCCCGCTTTGTAAAAAAAATTGCAAGCGTACCCGCTTTTTCGCATAACTTCAGCATACGGGGCTGAAGTAGCAAAGACAATCACGCAAAACTTAGCATTCTAGTAGCTGGGCCTGAAGTTCAGCTCTAGAGCTAAAGTTTTTGTTTTGTAACTATCGAACTTCAGCTCTAGAGTTGAAGTTTTTGTTTGTAACTAGCGAACTTCAGCTCTAGAGCTGAAGTTTTTGTTTGTAAGCTTCAGCTCTAGGGCTGAAGTTTTTGTTTTTTAACTGTCGAACTTCAGCTCTAGAGTTGAAGTTTTTGTTTGTAACTGGCGAACTTCAGCTCTAGAGCTGAAGCTTTTGTTTGTAAGCTTCAACTCTAGAGCTGAAGTTTTTGTTTTGTAATTGTCGAACTTCAGCTCTAGAGCTGAAGTTTTTGTTTGTAACTAGCGAACTTCAGCTCTAGAGCTGAATTTTTTGTTGAAATTTTTATTTTTTAACTGTCGAACTTCAGCTCTAGAGCTGAAGTTTTTGTTCGCCAGTTTAAATGCATCAACCTCATTTCGACTAACTCACACTCAGCTTTGCTCAGCCATTTTTATTGCTAAGCAACTGATATTCAAAAATACAAAACAATTAGGAAATCCTTATGAGGATCAAAGTATTATCTTTATAATATGTTGGAGCCGAAGTCTGGTTTATAGGTTCAGTTACAGCTTTAAAATAAGAGAATGACAACGATTAAGGGTAATGGCGTGTAATGCAGTAAAGAGAAGCAACACAGAAAAAGCATTCTACTTTGAAATGAAAACAACAAAGACTCAGACTACCAAGAACAGTAATGATCTCTAAGATGACATATTCAAAAGATTCAGTAGCTCCACCATACTGTACAATCTCCGACTTTTCTTTCTAAAAATGATTATTAATTTCTTGAAGACGTTGTGTGAATACATGTTATATACATAGCCGTAACAGATTTCTTGCAGAAAAGGGAGAAGGAGAAGTTTGAGAAAGAAGAGGCGGATATAACTTTGAGGAGGAGAAGGAGGAGGAGAAAGGGTGCTGAAGTTGTTTAAAAAGTGGGTACAAGTTAAAAGTTTTTAAAAAAATGGGTATAGGTTAAATGGGGGAGACCAAATAGGGCGCCCCGTGCAATTTTTACTCCGGATTCGCACCGCGTAGGGCCCCATTCGGGGGGAAGCGCTCCCTACCAAGGATTTTTCCATACCCAGGGCTCGAACTCGATACCTCTGGTTAATGGAAGAGCAGTCCCATCCACTGCACCACATCCTTTGGTGGTCCTTTTTTTTGTTTTTTGAATATCAATATAGTCTTCCATTTTACGTAAAAGTGGTAGATGAGTATGAATTATGAAATTTAAGAAACTTTTTTTTTAAAAAAAAATTATGGTATTAAAATAAAACATTTATTTATTTTTAAGGATATAAAATCATTTCATCAATAATAAAAAATCTAAAGTTAAATTATTTATAATTATAAAAATATATCATTCTTTTTTTGGACATACTAAATATAAAAAGTGTATCATATAAACTAAACAAAATAAACTATAACTATAATAGCTTAAAATAATTTACTCAAAAGATTTTATCATATTATACCAAGTTATGTCTAGTATTTATTTCAGGCAATCAATGTAAAATTATACAGGGTAATTGTCTTTTAAACAGCCTAATCAAATAAATATATTTTTTACACTATTATGTACTGATATGATCGATATCCCAGCTCAGGGACAATCAAGTGGTATGGTTGTCCTTTGGGATCATAACATGGTCAATGTCCATAGCTTCGTGCGTAGAAGCCAAGAAATAAGTGCAACAATTGAGGTAATTCCCACTCGCAAAACTTGGTTGTTTACCTATATTTATGCTAGTACTAACATTAACCATAGAAATCAAATGTGGAACAATCTTATTAACATGCATGCTAATTTTAATGGGCCATGGCTAGTAGGGGGAGATTTTAATGATGTCCTAGATTCAACAGAAAAATTAGGAGGTAACCAAGTATTCCCCCCGTTCCAATTTATGTGAACTTGTTTGACTGGATACAGAATTTAAGAAAAAATTAAGACTTTTGGAATTTGTAGACCTAAAAAAGTCAAAAAGAGGCTCATAATATTGTGTGGTTATAAAAGCTTCTCATTAAGGGTAGAATTGTAAGTTTAAGCTAAATTGTTACCAAATTTAGAAGGGGGTCATTCTTGTTGGAACGGACCAAAAAGGAAATAGGTTCACATAAATTGGAACAGAGGGAGTAAATAGAAACCGTTCCAAATACCTGTGGAACTGTATCAATAAATGTGGCCTTATTGATCTAGGGTTTAAAGGATGCAAATTTACTTGGACTAATCGTAGAAAGAAAAATAAAGGTCTTATTATGAAAATATTAGATAAAATCCTTGCCAACAGTGACTGGATTAGCTGCTTTCCAAATGCCTCAGTGACTCACCTTCCAAAAACACAATCTGTCCATAATCCTCTACTCCTAGATATAATCCCTAGATCAAATGTTTCCCTTTCTAAACCTTTTAGGCTCGAAACCTATTGGTGCAGACACCCAGACATTAATAACCTAGTAAAGGAAAGTTGGAAAGACAACTAACTATCTGAACTAGGCTAATCATTTTCTAGGTAATGTTAAAGCTTGGAAAAATAAGATCTCGGAGATATCTTCAAAAAAAAAATAGAATTATGGCTAGGCTAAAAGACATACAAGAATCCAAGCACTACTATAATAGTACCTTCCTACAACTGTATACAGTCGAAATCAGGTATGCCCGATTTCTCGGATTCGAGGGGTAGCTTAAGCCCGAGTTCAGGCAAGGTCGAGTTCAAGCTCGATGAACCAAACTTGAGCTCGAAGACAAAGTGCAATGCCCGAGGATCTAAGTGCTAGAGGGACATCGGAGCTGAGCTCAGGCTCGAAGGTAAAATAAGAGGCTCGAAGACATAAGTGCTCGAGGAACACCGGAACCGAGTACGACCAGCTCCGAGATAGTGCCGTTATGAGTTTGTTACAGAAGGACAAGATTCTCGCCACGTCCCCAAGATCGTGGTGTAAATTTCGGAATGGATCTGTACGAATCCGTACTAGACGGTTATACAGCTGTCCCAATAAGATCCTTTATTGAAAAAATAGGAATATACCTTATTAAGGGTTCCCCTATTATATAAAGGGGACCCCAATCATTTGTAACAGGACACAATCACTGAGTAAAGAATATACTCTCTACTATTTGCCTACTGTTCATCAGCACTGTCCTTTAGCTCTACTGCTCTTGTTTACTTTTCTTACTTTATTGCTCTTAGCCCGTCTCGAGGTCACCATCTCGAGGTCATTACTGCTGAGTTACATTGGTTTGATTCACTTGTCTCTTTCATTTCTACTTCATATTTCTTGATTATTAATTGGTATTGAATCTAATCACGTATCTTTAAAACCACAAATCAAATTTAATTGTTACTCGTATTGTCGAGGTAAACAATTTGGCGCCCACCGTGGGGCTAAAGATAATAGTGATTATTTCTTTACTAATTCTTGTTACACACGTTATCTTTACACTTTTTCTTGTCAAGATTTTTTGATTCTCAGGCTTAAACATGTCTAGCACACAAAACGCACCTGTTCATGACAACGAAGGTCTTGGAGAAAACAATAGTATAGGGGTCGGTGTACCACCAATAAACTCTGAGGAAGTGCCAAATATGGAGCCAGTTGATATCATTTCACATAATGCTCTACACGCGGATTCAGGCACGGACCCCGTAGGGAATGAACGCAGGGAAGCCCGATCTGGTGGACAAGGAGCAAGAGGAATAGGAGATGGGGGAATCAGCCTCCAAGTGATATTCGAGATGCTGCAAGCTCAGCAAATCGCCATTGCACAACTTCAAAGTCAGAATAAGACTCCGAGCGTAGCTGAACATGAAAATGCTTGACATACTGAACCAGCAAGGGAAAGGCCCGATGAAAGTGTCTTGGGGACTGACCCCACTATTATGAGAATGCTCGAAGATCTCACCAAGAGGATAGAGTCCGGGGAAAAGAGGATTGAGGATAATGACAAAAAAGTGGAGACTTATAACTCCCATGTCGATCAAATACCGGGAGCTCCCCCGATCTCGAAGGGATTGGATGCCATGAAATTCGTACAAAGGCCGTTCCTTCCGAGTGCGGCTCCGCAGCCCATCCCAAAGAAGTTTTGTATGCCCGATATACCTAAATACAATGGAACCTCTGATCCAAATGAACACGTTACTTCTTACACATGCACCATAAAGGGAAACGACTTGGAAGACGCCGTAATCGAGTCTGTGCTGCTGAAGAAGTTCGGGAAGACTCTATCGAAGGGTGCCTTAATATGGTATCATAACTTACCCCCTAATTATATTGATTCGTTTGCTATGCTTGCAGATTCTTTGTAAAAGCACACACTGGAGCCATTAAAATTGCAACAAGAAAGTCGGAAATTTTCAAGATAAGGCAGAAAACAACGAGATACTCAGGGAATTCGTATCTCAATTCCAAGCGGAGAGAATGGATTTGCCTCCGGTCACCGATGACTGGGCTGTACAAGCTTTCACTCAAGGTCTCAATACTCGCAGTTCTATAGCTTTGCAGTAGTTGAAGTAAAGTTTAATCGAGTATCCGGCTGTC